TTCAGGTCTCCCCTGCCCCCACCTCTGGCCCTGGGTCCAGCAGGCCCACACCCCGTTGTTTTGCCTCGCTCTGTTGGGCTCCTTGGCAGTTGCATCTCTGTTCCTGGGACCTTAACAAGGAGCCAGGACTTGGATGTTTGGCCCAGTGCCTGGCATGGTGCTGGCACTGTTAAAACGTATATACCACACAGATGTGTGAGTCCAACTTTTGTAAATGAAGAGATGTATTTATTTAATGTGTAGAAAATAGAATATCTTAATGGAAAAGCACCGTGCACTTTGCCAACAGCAAGAACGCAAAGCGTCAACTCCTGATGTCCCTAAGAGGCTGCACTGTTTTTAGAAAACATTACAAGGAAGTGAAGTGTGAGCTGGGAGGGGACCCCCGCTTCCAGCCCCTCCCCTGGGTGACCGAGTTGAGCGCGTTACGTAAGTAAGTCAGGCTTTGGGTTTCAGGCCAGGAGGTCATGGAGCTCTTGTTGTGGACTCTACCCTTGGATCTACTCAAGAGAAGTGCCTGTGAGAACTTGAGCCCTGGCTTTGGCGCTGCATGAGAAGTTCCCACCCCAGCTCCTCCTTGGGGGGGGGGGGGGCCCACTGAAGCCTCTAGCAGGGAAGTGGGAGCTTTAAACAGAAGGAAGATGCTGGTTTCCTGCAAGCCCAAGCTTACCAATTGAGGAGGGAGGATGGGTTGGCGAAAGCTCAACAATGCAGAGTGACCCAGCAAATGAATGCTGGGGAGTGGACGCTCAGTCCTAGTTGAAGAGGGACAGCCAAGAGGAAGGGGTGAGGCCTGGGAGTTTAGCCACATCTCTTTACTAATGATTCGCTTCCTAATGTTTGCGAAATAACAGAAGCTTTCACCACAAACTAATGTAGCACACAGTGCAGGGCAGAGCCAGCAGACGGACAGAACCATTCAGCTCTTGCGCCCTCAGACCTTTAACTGGGGAGAGCTGTAGGCTATAGCACAATGTGCTAAGTGTTGGGTCCTGACTTAAAAACTTTACAGCCTTGCAGTTAGTTCTCACTGCAGCCTACGAACTTGTGAGCACCCCAAAGGCCTGCCCAGGGTCACAACCTGAGGGGTGGTCGGGACTCAAGTTCAGATGTGACTGGCCTAGAGGCTGGTGCTTTTTGTATCAACAGCACCTGGAATAAAACTCAAAATCAGATGAAGACAGGGGACGAGAGTTCTGATCTTGGGAACAGACCTGGGCTTGGACTCGGCCAGAGCTGGAGGAAGAGCTGTGCTAAGCCAAGTTCACTCCTGGCTGCTGAGTGATCAATCACAAGTGTCTTCACCTCTGTGTGCCTCTCTGTCCTGCTCCAAAGCGGGGAGCTAGGTGTGCTTTGGGGTTTCAATGGGAAGAAGCCAAGCACCCGAGGACCTGGCACTGGGGCTCCTGCGTCATGATTAGCAGCTTCCATGACGTGCAGGTGACTGAGCTGCCTGTCCTCCTGCTCAGGCGCAAGCAGAGGGGCTGTGGGGGTGTGGGGGGTGGTCAGGACCAGTTAGGCGCCCCCCTGCGCTGCACCTGTCTCTCCTCTGTCCCTTTCCTGACCGCTCTTCTCTCCTCGGGGCTTCCGGTGAAGCAGCTGGGTGGGAGGTGTGAAACCTGCCTGAGGCTGGGGCATTGCTGAGATAGATACTCAGCCAAGGGTCAGAGCTAGTGCTACAGCCAACCTCCTCCCAGACTAAAATCTTTATCCTCCTGTGAGCTTCCTTCTTCACACTCCCCAGGAGGAGGGGGAGGGTGCCCACAGAGGGGAGTGCATGCCATGTCCAACGTGAACTTGGGTCCACCTGGCTTCCAGCTTGGACTCCATCCCCCATGGGAAATTACCATCACCTTCCAGGGGTGCGGGGGAGAGGTGTTGTTTCCCTTAAGATTGATGGGGGACCAATTCAGCCAAGGAGTCTGGCTGTGCCCCCTGCCAGATGCCAAGAGCTGTTTGACTTTAGATGCTTGGCTGGGATGCCATCATGATGACGGCAGGAGTGGGGTTGTGCCCAAATACCCACTGGAACCTCAGAGAGTGGCTTCTCTGACCCTTTCCTCACCAGCCCCTTCCTGTCGCCAGGTGACCATCCCCATCGCCACACACATCTGGCACCTGCAACACTCCAGACCCATGCAAACATTACCCCGGCACTTGAGGGAGGGGTTGCTGTAGTGATTCCCACTTTATAGAAGAGGAAACCAAGGCGCAGGGAGGTAAAGTTCCTGTGCCGTGTGACACAACTAGGATCGAAAGAGCTAGAATCTCTTGCTCTTGACCACTGAGCCAGCCAAGCCCCGGTGGGTCCCTGCTGGTCCTGAATCTGAGGCCAGCATGAGCCAAGCTCTGGGCTTTGGCCTTGTTTATGGCTCTGACCCTGGCCCGTGGTAACTGCAGAAGAGTCACTGGTTCCTGAGCCAGAGCCAGACCATCTGCAGCGGGCGCGGGGGGCCCAGGAGAGCCCTTGAGGAAGACAGAGAGTTTTCTTGGATGGATGAATGGCTGCCCTTCCTGTGACCTTTGTTCCGGCCCAGTGAAGTGACTGGGCTTCCCCCTAATCCCTCTATCTTTCCAACCTGAGGCGAATAGTTTGCTGAGAGTTCTCTGTGTTCCTCTGAGATCAGGGCCTGGCTCCTGGGAGCACAGAGTGAACTTTGACACTTTTTTAAGCAGCTACAGGGACAGATCTTTTCTCAGAGCAAGTGAAGAAGATTCTGCCTCCCGGATGTTGCCTCATTAAACCACCTACAGTCTTTCCCCAGAGTTGAGCCTGGTGCTCTCATGGCAGCAACCACTGTGATTGCTGCCAGGGCAGGATTAAGGGCTTTAAAGGACTACCTCCTCTCTGGCCTCCACCTGCTGGCCCTTCCTGAAGATGCTCCAGCCCTACTCCTGCCCCAGGGCCTTTGCACTTACTAATTCTGCCTGGACTGCTGGTCCTTGACTGCCACCTCTATATGTGACTGTCTCCTTTTTTTTCTTTTAGGGCTCAGGTCAAACTGTCTGCTCCTTGGAAGGGTCCTCCCCTACACCCCAGCTAAAGTCTCACTTTACCTCCCTCCTTTTTAGTGCTCTCTTTGAGTCCTGCTTTCTCCTTTGCTCTTCACTTTGTAATCTGAGGTCGTGTTTTACTTTCTGTGCCTGCCAGATGCCAGTTCCATGAGGAACAGACCTTGTTGGCTTTGGTCTTTTCTATGTCCTCACTCTAGAACAATGCCTGACTAAATATTTGCTGAGTGGCTGAAGGAGATACCAAATTTGCCCAGCGTCCTGTAGCAGTGAGGTAGGGGAAAGGAGGCTGTAGGTGCTCTGCAGTCCTTGCTGTGGAGAGGTGTGGGCGCTCTGCTCCATGAAGCAGGCCTGGGCCTGGGCCACACTTGAACCACTGGCATCTGGTGTTGACAATGAGGCCATGAGACTTCTGAAGCTACTCTTAAGAAACCTCTGGAGTTCTGCCTGTGTTTCTTGGATCATGCTTCCTGTAGAAGCCAAACAAGGAGTCTGACTAGCCTGGGTCTGCCATGCATTCCTGTGGTACCAGACAAAAGTGTGCCCATTCAGTGGACACAACACTACGAAACAGTAGCAAATTGTTAGGCCACTGAGTTTTGAGGTAGCATAGCCAAGCCTAACTGAAACCAAGGCACTGAAAGTCCACATGACTGAGCCAGGCCCACTGAATGGTTTCCAGGGCCTGAGCTTTTAACCTCTTATTTAATCTTTCTCCTGATTTTTACATCTCTTGAAATTAGTGGGTTGAGAACTGGTCCTGAGAACTTACTTCCTTCTCATTGTAGATCTTCATAAATAATGAGTGGCATGACGCCGTCAGCAAGAAGACATTTCCCACGGTCAATCCGTCCACTGGGGAAATCATCTGCCAGGTGGCTGAAGGGGACAAGGTGAGAACCAGTCACTTTCCTCAGGCAGGGCTGAGTGGGAGGGGGGCGGCAAGATGATTACACTTTCTGCATGCTCACCACATGGTGTGCATTACTGTCACAACTAAAGGGTGCCAGTTAGATTTCTTGAGTAAAAGAACAGACAGGAGTCTTCCTCCCAGACAGGTGTGAGCTTGCACCCCAGTTCAGTAAACATTCGGTTGTGAAATTGTAGATTTGCAGTTCAAGAGCATCTAATCCAATTTCCTTTGCAGACCAGGGAGCTGAAGGTCAGGGCTGGGAGGTAGAGCTAGATGTAGCTGTAATGTTGGTGATGTACGTCATTTCCATGATGTACACTAACAGTAATTTAAAAAGCCTCAAAATTTGTAAATTAGACTCAGGATCTTTAGTACTTCAGGAATACCCCCTGCCTCCTGCTTTAAGGCAGCCCTCTAGCAACCCTCACGAGGCCTCTGCGAACAGCAGGCGTGACTGTCCCCCGGTGGAGGGCAGTCAGGTGGTGCCTGCGCCGAGCGTCAGTGCAGACCAGCTGCCCGCCTGCCACAGTGCCTCTTGCGCCAGGAGCCAGCTGCATCTCACTGCTCCTTTGTGGACAGGAAGAGGCTTCACCCTGTACTGGCAGCTCGTGCCTGGTCGTGGGAGGAAGCCACGACTTGGCTTTGGAAGAAAGGGAGAAACTGGTGAAATTCTACGCACTGACCCCCGAGCCTCTTCCTCCAAAACTGGGGGATTTTGACATGAAAAGCCAGAAACGGGACCTGTCAGGACTGCCATTCGCACTGGGGTTCCTGGAGAGAAGGGCAGCGTGCCGCTCACTTCTGAGGCTGCTCAGGACGCTGACTGAACAGCTGTGGGTGGGGGTGCGCTGGCAGCCAGAGTGGGGTTCCGAGGGGGTTATTGCTGAGAAGGCCTGAGCTGCCTCCGTGGGTGTTTTCCAGGAAGATGTGGACAGGGCGGTGAAGGCTGCCCGGGCCGCTTTCCAGCTGGGTTCACCCTGGCGCCGGATGGATGCATCCGAGAGGGGTCGGCTGCTGCACCGCCTGGCCGACCTGATCGAGCGGGACCGGACCTACCTGGCGGTGAGTTCCCAGCCCCTGTGTTCTCTTCCCCACGGCAGATGGGCCCAGTCTCCTGGGAGCAGCCAGGGAGAGGCACACTGCTGCAGGTACCTGGTCAGCATGGCTCAAGCTGACACGTTGGGGCACGTGCCCGCCCCACCCTCACCTTGGGTGCAGTGGGCTTGGCTAGGAAAGGAGGTGACAGACGGAGCGAGAAGAGCCGTGGTCGGGGAGGCTTTCCAGGAAGCCTGGAAATGGACACTTCCTCTGGAACCCTGATGGTGAGCCTCCCCTGGTTACTGGGGCAGAGATAACCAGGAGGTTGTACCAACCCTCCCCCCTAGCAGCCAGAGTGAATCTTCCAGACAGCAAATTACTTCATGGTGCTTCACTCAACCTTCCCAGGTATCTGCTACCCGTAGGATAAAAACCTGTTCCCTCAGCAGTCTGCGAAGCCTTGCCTGGTCTGGCTCCTTCTCCCAGCCATGCCCGCCCACGGCCCTCACACAGTTCTGCCCCACAGTCTCCTCTCAACCCCCCGACCTTCACGCTGCTCCTTGGGCAGGAGGGCCTTTGCACAGACCCCCGAGAGCCATGCCCTGCATCACCATTTGTACTGGCCGCTTTGCCCGGTCACATCCTACACATCCCAGGGGCGTGCCTCAGGTGGGAGTCTCTCTGGCTGGTGGGCAGCCTGGCCTTGTGCTCTGGCCTTCTTAACACTGGTAAAGATAATTTGTCTTTCCCTCACTCCTGGATCTAATACAGCAGAAGCTTAAAAAATTCATGTTTGTCAAATGATTAAAGGAAACGCCGAAGCATGATTCCTCCTCTCTTGCTCCTTATTCTTTCTGACTTTAGCAAGAGAGGGACAGTGGCCCAGAAACCCTGAGATGTCCGCTGGCACCAAGTGGCCACTAGCCCTTCTCATTCGTGAGCGTCAGCACTGCTCTTGGCCTCATTTTCTTTGACTCAACACCCATGTGCTGACCTTGTCCTCTGTTCCTAGACCTTGGAGACTCTGGACAACGGCAAGCCCTACGTCATCTCCTACCTGGTGGATCTGGACATGGTCGTCAAGTGTCTCCGGTACAGCTCCGGCTTCCTGTGATCCTCTGCACCTCGGTGCTGGAGGGGAGGGGCGTGCCTGGAGGGGTGGGAATAGAACAGAGTAAATGGATGAAAGGGGGTGGAGAAATGTGTTGTGTAGACGCCACCTCATGGGAGCAGTGCCTCAGTACTAAGACTGTCATTTAGTCAGCGCTTGCTGGCTGTTTGAATCAGCTTATGTGACTTCTGTGTGTTGGAATGTGTCTGTTTCATTTAAGTGATGAGCGTGTTGGTTACCGTTGTTCAAGGTTTTAACTTAGGATCATTTTAAAGACCATGTAAGATCATCAGTCATGTTCCACTTCCATTTTTGATGTGTTTTCTCCCCTTTTTTCTTAGGTTAGTGAAGGTTTCTCAATTTTGGTTGTGTTGATCCTGCTACCTTTTCCTTCTCTCTTCCTTCTGTCTCTTTATTATTTTCTCCCTCTTGCTAGTTTTGGGTGCAGTTTCTCTATAAAAATTTAATGACCAAAAACTGTAAGAGGAAGAATCAGAGCCTTCTGGCTGGGAGGGAACAAAAACTCACTCAGCCTGACTGAGGCGTGACAGAGTTGGGGGCCGAAATCCCGAAGGCCACTGTGTCTTCCTGCTGCGCCGCACACTCCCATCGCACTTTCCCCACCACCTCTGGCATCCTTTGGGGCCAGTCTGCCTTTTGGAGCCTGGCTGTCCAGCACAGCCTTGCTTTGTACGTGCAGCTCCAGCCGGGCTCAGCAGTACCCCTTTAGTTCAGCGCCAAATACCAGCCTAGTGCCAAATTCTGGATGCTAAGTGCTACCCCCATTGGCTGGCTATGGATCTGACCAGCTATGGAGAGGCCCTTGTGAAATACTGTTTACTCCCCAATGACCGTTTGCACCGAGGTGGAGGGGGAGAAGCAGTGCCAGAAAAGTAGGGGCTGGACAACATCACAGGCTGTCATGTCTCCCCCGAAGACAGTGAGCAGTGACTGGACATCTGGATGTCACAGTGTGGAGGAAGCGGGGACGCTGCTAAATATCCTGAGTGTACACAGCAGCCCCTCATAACAAAGAATTTTCTAGCCCCAAGGGACACTAGTAGCGAGATGGAGAACGCCCTGAGGACCCAGAGGTTGGCTCCTATGAAGTCCAGGAAGAGCCCACGCCTTCTGAGTGCCAGGGGCATGCCTTTGCGTTGATTCAGTAACTTCCAGACACGTGAGGGATACGGGGAAGGAGCAGGCAGATGAGGTGTGTCACAAATGCATGTTCAAACCCAGATGGCCTTTGGTCTCAGCTAGCCTGGCCACATCCTCATTTCACAAAGCTTGCTTGTATCTGCCTGCTTCATCTTTCTCCCTCGCATTTCTCCTGCTCCCCTGGGCACTTAACCAGTTCCTCCCATGCGCACGTCACTGTTTCTTGCTCCCCATCTCCGATTTGCAGTGCCTGAGAATCTGTCTGGGGAGGGGTCCCTCGGTCTTGACATGGTGCCAGCTGCTTAGTAGGTTTTGCACTTTTCTACCAGGCTCGAATCCATATTGCCAGATACCCATTTCTGGTGTTGTGCTGGTACAGGAGTCACATTTTATAACCTGATTGTTACTAAAAAGACCAATTACTGGGCATCAGCTTCACAACCAGACTGAGTAGGTAGGAAGTGGGCTCGTGGAATCTGGTGTTTTCACAAGCACTCCTAGGACTCTGGGGTGCCGAGCTTAGTCACCTCTCTGGATGACTGACGCCAGCAGTTATTTAGGTCTCTGGGGAGAAGTTGAGAGCAAAGGAGATTGTCAGAAAGACCCAGTTGGACCAGCTGGAGCCTTCGCCTTTTGAAAGGGTCCTGACAGTCTTTTTTTCTTGAAGGTATTATGCCGGCTGGGCTGATAAGTACCACGGGAAGACTATTCCCATCGACGGGGACTTCTTCAGTTACACACGCCATGAGCCTGTGGGAGTGTGTGGGCAGATCATTCCGGTGAGTGCCAGCCTCGCAGCCAAGCGACTGCCAGAGCCTGGGCGCTGCTGCAGTTCAGGACGGGCTCCTGGTGATGGTGGGAAGGTCTGTGGGGAGATGGCCAGGTCATGGCGGACACCTGGTCTTTGACAGCACCAGCTGGGTTCAAGTCCCAGCCCTGTTACTTGTGAACTCTGCGATCTTGGGCAAGACCAGGATCCCTCTGCGCCCAGACAGTTCTCTGATAAGCAGTCTTGGGCCGTAGTGTTGAATGTGATGGCTTCACACACACGGTGTCCGACGAAAACGCCCTGAGGAACATGAGTTGCTAGTGTTCTCATCCGCCACCGGCTCGTTCATTAGTCTTCAGCCTAAGGCAGTTATGGGGACACGATAGGTTTGGAGAATTCGGTGCTGCTGCTTCTCTCGGGGCACTGCTTTCAAGTGCCAGTTTGCTTCGACTTGGATTTTGGTATCAACCTTTGTCTCTTGCAGTGGAACTTCCCACTCCTGATGCAGGCCTGGAAGCTGGGCCCCGCCCTGGCCACAGGGAATGTGGTTGTGATGAAGGTGGCCGAGCAGACTCCACTCACCGCTCTCTATGTGGCCAACTTGATCAAAGAGGTGTGTGACTGCTAACCTGCCCTTCTGCTGGCTGCCCCTGAAAGAGTGTTCAGGAGGGGCCCACTCGGGGCTGGTGTTTGTTGAGCAGGGGCTGCCCCAGCCAGTCAGTCACCACACTTTAGCTAAAGTGACCCCCCTTACCTGCTGTCTACACAGGTCTCTCTGCAGGGCCCATTTTTAGGGAGTGATAATCCTGAGTGAGGAAGGGGTAAAAAGCCTTTGAGAACCCCGGGAAATTGGTTCTTTGCTATGCACTTAGAATTCCTGTGTCAGCTCACCTGTGTCCTGGGCCGGACTGCCTTAGCCCCCATGGGAAGGGATGCGTTCCCCGCGCCAGGCCCTTTGGAACAGGAGATGACATGGCTGACTGCCCACAGGCCGGCTTTCCCCCTGGAGTGGTCAATGTTATTCCTGGATTTGGCCCCACGGCTGGGGCCGCCATCGCCTCCCACAAGGATGTGGACAAAGTGGCCTTCACAGGCTCCACTGAGGTAAGCCTTCCCCAGGGCCACAGCTTGTGGGGCCCTCTGTTCTGTGCCCATGAGAGCCGTTGCTTACCCCGCCCCTGCCCCACTGAGAGCTTGTCTGTTCTGCTCCCTCATAGGTTGGCCGCCTAATTCAGGTTGCTGCTGGGAGCAGTAACCTCAAGCGGGTGACCCTGGAACTGGGGGGAAAGAGCCCCAACATCATCATGTCGGATGCTGACAGTAAGTTTTCGCGAGCAGGTCTGGTGGGAGGTCAGCCACTTGCTGTCCAGACTGCCTCTGCTCACTTCTGTAATCCTTAGTGTCCACTGGAGTTGATTTCTGCCCCCAGGATTGCAGGATGGAGGCTGGTTCCTTGGCACAGCCGGTGGCCTGCAGGATCTGAGCTCCTTGCTTCTCTCCTGCCCAGCAGAGCAGCTCGCTTCCTCTCAGACTGTCCATCGCCTCCTTTTTCCTGGTCCATATTTGCCCCCAGGGAGCCTTCCCTAACTGCCACTAGCTGCTGGTTGTCCTCAGGCTGCCCTCAGCTGTTCCCAGAGACATGACTACTGCTCTGTCTTCTGCCATTCAGCCACCACTTCTGAGGTGATCTGGCCTGGCCTGTCTTGCTCCTATACTGGGTTGGTCCCTGCTGGGGACCCCAAGGCTGGCATGGGGTGGGGGAAAGCAACCGCCGGAGGCAGGCCTGTCCTCTTCTCACTGTGCCTTTCTGCCTCCTCAGTGGACTGGGCTGTAGAGCAGGCCCACTTCGCCCTGTTCTTCAACCAGGGCCAGTGCTGCTGTGCGGGCTCTCGGACCTTCGTGCAGGAGGACGTTTACAATGAGTTTGTGGAGCGGAGTGTCACCCGAGCCAGGTCTCGGGTCGTGGGGAACCCTTTTGACAGCCGGACCGAGCAGGGGCCACAGGTAAGCCCAGAGGTGGCAGGTGGCTCTGGATGTTGCAGCCAGTATAGAGAAGCAGAAAGGGCCTCGGACTGAGTCAGGCCGGCGGAGCTGCCACCCAGCAGCTGTGTCTCCCCAGGGAACTACATGGCCCTGCTGAACCTTCCCGCCCTCTCACGGGGTGACTGAGGTGGAAGTTAAAGAAGGAAAGTACTTGTCAATTAGATACACATAATAAATTTAGGAGTGCCTGTGTACAAGGAATGCCTGCTTCCTGGAGTTAGGCCATCCAAATGCATCCGTTCACCAGGAGAATACACAAATCTGTCATGTGACTGTCTCTGCCCAGTGGGGTAAAGGTCATTGCATGTGGAGGGATTTTGTTTCACTTTATACTCCTCTGAGCTGTTTCATCCAAAAAATATTTTACTCTGACCACATATTCATTTTAATGAACCAGACTATATAAGCACAGTCCAGAGCTCTTACGGGTTCCTTTCCAAATGACTGCAGCAAAAACAAGTCATATGAAGATTTGGTTTTCTAGGGGTTATTAAAGTACTGTGATCTGGTAAGTCTGCAGTGGCATTATATCTTCTTAAAAATTGTAACACCTTAGTTTAAAAAATTCCTAAGTATTTTATTTACTTTATTTCTAAAAAGTTCTGACCTGTTGGAGAAAGCACATTTGCTTATCATAGGGTCGCCACAAGCCTTCACTCTGCAAAGTGCAGCTCCTGTGGCTGCCTACGGCGTGGCCATCGTAAGAATGAACAGTGCCTCTGCCCGCCCTCTCCTCTTCCTGCTCTCCAATCCTGTCCTTAGACCCAGCCGGTCGCTTTGTCCTGGTCCTGCCACCCCTCGCAGGAAAGGGATCACAGGGTCAGGGCTGCTTCCACAAATCCTTGTCCATGGGGTCCTTAGCTACCTCAGAGCCCACAGGAACCTCCTTGGGGACTCCATTCTCAAGGGTATCTGCCATGCTGGTGTCCACTCCCAATTCTCTAGGGCCGCCTAAGGCAGATTCTTTTAAAATAGGCTCCATTTTTTAAGCATAGTTTAGGCTTACAGAAGAGTGGAGAGTTCCAGCATATATTTTTGTACCGACCCCTACTCCCACACCCGTCCCTGACTTCGTAGTTTGTTGTCCTTGATGCGCCAATATTGATGCATTACTATTAGCCAGTCCATCACTTACTGTCGGGCTCACTGTTGGTCTTCATTCTGCTTCCTGGCAGATGGATAGTGTCAGGTACCTGCCATCACAGTGTCATCCAGAACAGAGTCCCCTGCGCTACCCCCTCAGGGGCCGCTGATCTTTTCACTGTGCAGATTTCACCATGTCTGTAGATTGGCCCTTTTCAGCAAGCCATGTGGTGGGAGTCATATACTAGGTGGCCTCTGCAAATTGGCTTTCTGTGCACTTAAGTTTCTTTGGTTTAAGTTTCTTTCCATGCCTGCGTGCTCACTCCTTGTTGCCTCATTGTGTGGGCAGACTACATTTTCTTTATCCACTCATCTGTTGGTGGACACAGGTAATTACTTTTTAGCTTTCGTGAATAGTGCTGCTGTGAATCCCAGCTGCTCTTCTTTGCTCATGTTTTTTTTTGTGATTTGTGGTTATCGAACTATTAAAGTGATTCAAAGCTGTATTTAAAATCTAATAAAGTGTTTAAAGAAAAAAAAAAAAAGGCCCCTCTGATCCCATCCATTTCCCTTCTCCATAGGTAATCGCACACACACAGAGTTAGGTTTTTGTTTAACAATAGGGTTATATAATATCTAGTGTTCTGTAAACTTTTCTTCCTCTCTTAGGCTGTATTTTTGGGTCAGTTCACAGATTAATGAATAGACAATTTGTAGATATACCAGAATTATTTTAACCATCCTTTCTATTAACAAATACTTGGCATTTTTTCTATTTTTACAAAATGCTCCCAGGAAGTAGGAACCTGTTCAGACCCCTGTGCACACCTAGCTGGGTAAAAGGCTATCTATGGGCATTTTAAGTTTTGATAGATATAATAAATTTTCAAATAGCTGTAGAAGTTTAGTCCTTTTTTTTTGATATAGTTGACATAATACTGTATTAGGTTTTGTAACAGCGCTGGAGTACACTATTGGAATACATGAAACATACCATTGCCATCAATATGTTTCCTTACTATTTTAAGCTTTTAGTAATCTCATTGTTGAAAAGTTAAAACAGTGGATTTGCTGTGCATTAGAGGTCTGGTGAGGTTGGTTCACCTGTATTTCTTCTTCCCAGCCTTTCTTGTTTGTGATCTTCGAGTGTCTCCGAAGCCTGTGTGCCCCCTGAAGCTAGGGGAGATCTGGCTCTAGCATCTCAGTAAACTCTGGGCTTCTTCTGCCATAGGTGGATGAAACTCAGTTTAAGAAGATCCTTGGCTATATCAAATCTGGAAAGGAAGAGGGGGCGAAGCTGCTGTGTGGGGGAGGAGCTGCTGCTGACCGTGGCTACTTCATCCAGCCGACCGTGTTTGGAGATGTGCAGGATGGCATGACCATCGCAAAGGAGGAGGTCATCATGGGGCTGATGTTCTGGGATGTTCTCGGGAGGAGATGTGGGCAGTTCAGTCCAGCAACTTGACATTGTAACCCAACAGCTAACTTTGGGCCAAAGAGCTGACTTCTGGCTCTATGCCTAGAACAGATTATTTACAATTTGTTTAATTTCAGGGCTTTCCTCTTTGGCCAGTGGAGAACTGAATTCTCTGGCATGGCATCCAGAGTCCTTTGTGTTTGGTCTCTGCAAGCCATGAGTTAAGGAATGCTTTGCCCAGAAAGTAAGCAGGACGCTGATGAAGACCAAAGGGCTAACCTCTCCGTAGAGAGGTCTGCATGCCTGCCCCTCAGCACTAAGGAATGTAGGGCAGTAGCTCTGGCTCATTCTTTTGTGTCACAAATCTTGACTGATACCTGCTGTGTGCCAGGTCTCTCCAGTGGCAGTTTTATCCAGGGGCGTCTGGCTGGATGTCCTCTGCCCTGCTAGAGTTCATGCTTGCTCTGCTCTCCCAGCAAGGATTAAGTCTGTTAGCATCTTATGCAGGAAAATGCTATGGTGACACCCCATTCATGGAAATGCAAAAGAGGCAGAGGAGAGTTCTGCCTCTTGGCTCATCACGAGTACTTTGATGCTTTGAGATCTTAGACTTGGATGTTTTTGGACTTTGTTCAGAGCCCAAATAAATCCATAGTCCTTGCCCACCCCTGAGGCACTTCTGGCTGCCTTTTCCAGCTTAGTCTAGATACTCCCCAGTCCAGGAACATTCCAGAAGTCTGAGTTCCTTAGCTTTCTTACGAGAATGGCGCTGGTGTGCTTGTGCCAAGACCTTTCTAGCTGCCTGCTTTTCATCCTCACCCTGGTTTGTCTAGTCTCTGTTCCACTACAGCTGACTGTACATTCTTCAAGCCTTTCCCTGACACCCTCCTCTCCACCTGCCTTCCTTCTGCTTTGATGTCTGTTCCCTAGTCTGTCCCCTGTGGGCAGAGAACAGCACTCTTCCCATGGGCACACCTGGCTTCTAAATCTTGGTTTCTAATCTCATCTTTCACTCAAAGAGACCAGGCTTCCTTGCAGAAATGGCAGGGCAGTCCAGAGAAAACCGGAATGTCTCAAGCAGGGACCCTGTAGGTTCAGTTGCTCTTCATCATGTAGTATATGCCCCGGCTAAAGGACCAGCTTAAATTTTCTGAAACTGAGTCTACATGTCATGTGCCTGTAAACGTGCCTGGTGTGACCATGTGGAAATAAGATACAGCATGTAAAGCAGGCTGCACGTAGAAGGTCCTTTGTGCGTCAATCCACGTTGTCAGTTAGCTTGGGAATGGTGGGCTACCTCTTCTGGGGACACCCTGTCACATCTGGAATCCTCTGCTCAGCATGGTCAAAGGTGGGGAGCTGGTGATTCCAAGCTCCCCTGATCTATTCTCTCATCCCAGATCTTTGGGCCAGTGATGCAGATCCTGAAGTTCAAGACCATAGAAGAAGTCGTCGGGAGAGCCAACAACTCCAAGTATGGGTTGGCTGCTGCTGTCTTCACAAAGGACTTGGACAAGGCCAATTACCTGTCCCAGGCTCTCCAGGCAGGAACTGTGTGGTAAGAGCCTCCCAGTGGTTCCTCACCACGCAGGTAGGGATGCCAAAGCCAGAGTGTTCGGGAATCCCGTGCTCATACCCCAGAATTTGCGTCCTAGGCTCAGGTCCTCCTGAGTCAGGGTGTGGCAGCAGACAGGTTAGAGATTTCTCCTGCCCCTTCTCCTTCGGGAGGTTAAGCTCTCCAGTGCATGTGCCCATGTGCTGTTCTAGAACAGGTGGGTGGATGACCACCTACGAAGCTGTGGTCATAGCAGAAGACCAGAGCTGAGGGCCTACAACATATAATACTAGTCTTGGAAACCTAGCACCTACTTCACACTTATAGGATGGACATATAATATTTAAAAACAAAAAATACCAAGAGTTGGTGTAGATGTGGAGAAACTGGAACATTCACACCCATCTGGTGGGAATGTAAAATGGTACTGCCACTGTGGAAAACACCCTGATATTTCCTCCAAATGTTGAACATAGAGTTGCAATTCCATTCCTAGGTGTATATATATATATACACACACACACAAATATATATACCCAAGAGAAACAGGAATATAGGCTAGCCCCAAAAAGCATAGGCAGATTGTTTCTGATAACTAGAAGGTGGAAGTAACCTAAATCTCCGTCAGTGGTGAATGGATAGCCATGTGGTCACTCCATACCATGGAATAGCACACGGCCATGAAAAGAAAGGAAGGAGCCATGTGGCTCGTGATGCTTTGGTCAGTGATAGCACATCCAACATAGCCCCTGTCACAGCCTGGGTGTGCAGCAGGCTAAGCCATCTACATTTCTGCAAACATCACCTTAGTGATTGTCCCCGAACATAGTCTTTTCACTAAACAGCAGCACACGACTGGCCACATGCTACCATCTCTGTAAACATACTACGTGCAGGAAGCCAGTGCCCCTGGATTACAGCCTCTGGGGAGACTGGCACTGGCAGACCACATAGTGTTTGGTAGCTTGTAGGAAATGTTCTAAATTGGCAAATTCATAGACACAGAGTAACTTGGTTGCCCGGAGGTGAAGGGAAGAGTATGAGGAGTGACTTTGTTGTGGGTGTGGGGTTCTTTTTGAAATTGGAAATACTGTGGATGAGATGGCGGTGTTGGTGGCACACATTACGAATATGCTATAAATTGTTGATTTGTCCACTTTCAAAAGTGACTTTCAAATCTGATTAAAATTTAGTACATTTTTTAAGTAAAAAAAGCGCAGCACTTGATTAGCAAAAACGAGTCGTTAACACGGGACACTAACGTGGTGAACCCTGCAAGTGACATCCATCTGCGACCACACTGTGCAGGTCAAGACGACCAAAGGCTTTATTTCATGTGGCTTCCTTTCAACTCCTATATCTGGTTCTTACAATGGTTCAATACTGAAATCTCATTTCAAATGACAGGGTCAACTGCTATGATGTGTTTGGGGCCCAGACACCATTTGGTGGCTACAAGATGTCTGGGAATGGCCGGGAACTGGGAGAGTATGGCCTGCAGGCGTACACAGAAGTGAAAACTGTGAGTATGGTTCTCAGCTCTCTGTCTTGTTGGTGTTTACTCTTAGTTTCCTGTTTTGAGCCAGAGAAGCTACCATAGAGGATAGAGACCCAGTCTGCCTCCTGAGAAATAACTAGAGACGTGATCCCATGGTGCCTTTTGTTATATGCCAGGGTCTGTGACACCACAGTGAAAGGAAGATCCCAGGAGGCAGAATGAAGCAGGGAGAAAAAGGTTCTAGTAAGAATCCTGGAGGCCTCCCTGGGGACCTACCAGTTAGTTCTCTGCGTCATCACTGCTACGGCCTAAGTTCCATCCCCAGCCAGGGAACTGACCTACATGGCGCAGCAGACCCCTCCTGACCCACCCGCTGCTCCCCTCAGCAGTGGACTTCATCAGTCTGCCTGTTTGCTCCCCACTCTGTCTCTGGGGAAGCCTTTCTCCCCCTATACCTCTGCCTACCTCCCAGTCCTTCTAGGTAAAAGTATATCTTTACAAAAGAATCACGTTAGGTCACTAGATATAGAGGACCATAAATTTACCCCATCTTTTAGTTTTCAGTCTCAGTGATGGGAATATAACCTGAAGAACTAATCAGAAATACAAAGAGCTTTCTCTCAAAGGGAAAAATTAGCCTAAATGCCCATAATTATGCAGGACTAAGTGGCCGTTAAAACTTTTTATAGAATATTTGATATGGAGTTTGTTCATCTTTTAAAGTAAAAAAAAAAAGCAGAAGGCAAAGTAATATATGCATTATAAGCCCAATTTTAAAATAGTTTTAAAGTAATATATACAGCCAATTGGGCTTATACTGTATGTATTACTTTAAAACTATTTTAAAATTGGGGTTATACTGCATAGACTCTGAGGTATTTTTATTCATAAATACGAAAAAGGCAGGAAAGAAATACACTAAAAAGAAAACAATTTTCTCTGTGTAATGAACACCGATAATAGTTTAACCAGGAAACATACAATTGATATTTAAAGAAAAGAAAAGTGATCCAGACTGGGCTTTCCCTGGACTGGACAAGAGAATGCTCAGGACAAATAAACCAGCCAGAGGGAGCAGCTGAGGAGAGGGGAGCACAGGCTGGACGAGGGGAGCAGGGGAGGCAGTCAGTTACTCTCCTTCCCCCGTACAGTGCTAAGCCTGAGTATAATGACAGCTAAGACAAATCTGTGTTCTCAAGACTGAAGCAGATGTATTTGCTTGTTTATTGTTAATTAAACAATCTTAGTAAACACAAAAAGCAAGGCCCAGATTCGAAGAGCTGGAGATGTACTGATGATGATGGTAGCGCTGATGAAAATGAAGGTAGTGGAGGTGATGACCGCTCCAGGCGGAGTTGAGGGTGGGAGAACCAGGGCTGCGCCCCGAGAACTGCAGTGTCTTGGGGGTGAGAGGGCAGCATGGGAGCTTCCCACTTCACATTTGGACAACTGTGAGCCTCGTGGGTTTTTTTGCTTTTGTTTTGTTTCTTTTGGAGGAAAGGGTGGGTGCAGTCCTTCCACATCAGCACTGTCAACATTTGGGGTTACAGTTCTTGGTGTGGGGCCTGTGCATTGTATGGTGCTGAGTGGCTTCTGCCCATTTCATGCCAGCAGCACCCCGGTCACCACCCAGAATAACTGGGTTCAAGGGGGACAGAGTGAGCTCACACATGTCACAGCTCTTTTGGATCCTGGTATTGACCATTTGGCTCTTGGGGGGTCAGAGTAATGAACGGGGGCTGCCTGCTCATATTCAGGTAGCCCCATGAGTGCAGATCCCAGGGCAGCATGGGACTCACAGCTTCTCTGCACTGTTCTTGCAGGTCACCGTCAAAGTCCCTCAGAAGAACTCATAAGGCCCACACCGCTTCCCCTCTCATCCAGCGGCAGAAAGAGCAGTGAGATTAGTAACACTAAGAAAACGGCCCTTCTATGCTCAAAGCCTCAAAGGAAATTTTCTCTCAAGCTCCCTTGGATGAAGTCTCAGGAAGTGAAATGACAAGGAGGACAGTGTAGAATGAAGAGTATTTGGGAAAAGCCTTTAAACTGCAACGCTATTAGTAGCTTGGGTGGGGGTGGGGGTGTTTCAAAGGCAGATGGAAACGCCCCATCCTGTCCATCTGACTCACTTCTGTAACTTTAGGGCGCAAGAAAAGGCTGTTGTTTACAACTGTTCCAACAATTAGTGCTTTGCTTTTTATTTCCCACTAAATTTCATTAAAAATCAGTGCTGTCCATATACCAGAGACATTTTGCGGGGGTGGAGTGGGGAATGGGATCAAAAACGGGGGTGGGGGGGTGGGGAGGGAAGTGCACAGGGTTTTGGTGATGGTGCACGGGTAACATGGTGGTGGGAAACCCGCGGGGATTACAATTGAGATAGAAAAAAAAAATGTACAAAATGATGTAAAAATAAACTAGAAAAAAAAAATCAGTGCTGTGCTCCGTTTTTTGGGTCATACTTCCTCCAGCTCCAGACCCCCAAGAGATGCGGCCACCTGGCTCCCCCCATGGCATGTCACACCTGGCAGTGTCACGGCGTGTGGATGCACCGACCAGCCGTCCCCACTCTCCATTCCGGGTTAACGGGGGCAGCTTTTGTTCTTTCATTTAAATGAACAACTGTCTCTGCCTGTTGACCCGTGGAGGACCCGGTGCTGGGGCCCAGGCAGGACACCGGCACCAGACCCTGGTTCCTGTGCTCCGGAGAGGGTTAAGCCAGGAGAGGCACTGGTGCCCAAGGTGGGCTCTCGGTGTTGGGTCAAACCCTCAGTCAGACCGTGGGAGCCAGCTCATGCATGAAAGCCAGTGTCAGTGGACTCATTTGAAGGGAGGGCTGTAGTCCCAGTGACCAGGCCCGAGTCTCCTCTCGGGAACATTCACTTCATTTAGTTGGGACCTGGTGGGTTAGTGATTAATTATCACTACTAGAACTGAGGAGTCGGGTTTCCTGGTGAGTCACAGAATAGGAGCACAAGGAGTGAACTGCAATAGCTTTCTATAATTTGTGGTCAGGTTTGGGTCATTGCTTCCTTTAAGAATATGAGGATATGAGGAAAAGTTTGTCCTCTCCTAGGAAAATACATCCTCTGTGAATTTGCACATGGCCTTGGGGGGTGACTTACTGGCTGACCTCTGGTCAGACCACTGAGGCTGACTAAGCCTTGGAAAATGACCACAAGCCCGCTAAAGATGATTCAGCTTCACTGAAGAGTGCGTCACAATTTTTGTCATATATGCCTTTACCCATACTACTACTTTCTATTTACTTTTAGATAATTTTTTTGCTATACATAATAGCATCTAACTGCTATCAACAGAAGGCACTGTAAAAAAGACAAAAGCATGCAAATATTACTGAATTAAAAATAATGAAATACAATCAAACCTCATTACTTAGATTCCACTTAGGTGCACACAAATAAATGTAACAATTCAACAACTGTTCATACCTGAACTGAGTGTGCCTCAAAGAGGGTGAGTGAGCTGCTGTGATCAGCTGGCAATGATGGGATGTTCTGGTTCATGCTGCTTCAAGGTGAAATGGGGTTCACTGTCAATAAAGAGATGATTTTAGCTTGATGGCCAGCTGCAACACCACCACCATGATGCTATGCCAGGGGCCAGGGGCAAAGGGCAAAGAGCTCTGAACCCTGTTCTCAACTCCTAGTCCTGCCCTGCACCACTGGCCATGTGAATGCCGGGGATGGACTCATGCCTGCCTTCCCAACACTTGCAATCTGCCAGGGGACAGGAGTGAAGCAGGAACAGAAGAGGGTCCCTTAGAATAAAAAAGGCCCAGTTACTGAGATTCCTCGTGGCTGAGGGGTTAAGTCTCAGGGCTCACAGCTATGGCCCGAGTGACCCACATGGCGCAGCAGACCTCTCCTGTCTTGCCCGCTGCCCCTCTCAGCAATGTATTTCAGATCTGCCTTTCTGCTCCCCACTGTCCCTGGTGAATCCTCCCACACCCTGTACCTCTGGCCTACACCCCCATGCTATATTAAAGAACAGAGAAGGCTCGGTTACTATCTCTAGAAGCTGAAAATCTGCTGAGGGGAGAAGGCTCTCAAAAGATGATTACAATACAATCAAGATGCCAGATGCAAAGAGATGGTACGAGGTCCCTAACGGGCACTCACAGTGTATTTCACTCACTTTCTAGGCTGCTTGTCAGATTTAGTTCTGGAAGGTTTGACCTCAGTTATTTGCCCACAGTTTATACTCTTTAGGTAAATGGGAGTACCACTATTGTCTACTTAAATATTTACTCTAAGCTATAATTAATGCATGTCAAAGTCTAGTTTTCAAAGTTAAGAATGAGATCCTGTACAAATATAAAACACAGGTCAAAGTTTGTACTCATTTAATGAATGACGGACCCAGTAAGATGGTAAAGCAGGTTCAAATGCCACTTGGAGAAAATGGCTCTTTGTGGGCATTTTAATAAAGGAATGTCAGTAAGACTGCTAGGTGAAACAATAAAATTGGCTAACGCCTTTTAAGGCAGGAAACAGTAACTATAAGCATTTTGTGTTTACCAGACAGAAATCATCTGTGGCTGTATTGGACATAAATCTACAAGTTAGAGGTCACCTCAGTGTGACCTCAGAGGTTCCAGTTCATGTTTATCAGGCAGAGTACTTAAAATGAAAATAAAGCTCATTTTTCTGTCAGGCAGAAGGTATCAAGAGGTGGGCAGTCAAGGGTTGTTAAAGTGAGTCCACAAATGCTTGAAGGCACCTGGGTTCCAACTCTTTCAATAGTTTCTTTCCTCACAAAGGTAGGGCCCTCATCCTCAAGGTTTAATGTGGTTGCTATTTCAGCCACTGCATCAACATTCCAGGCAGCAGGGAGGTGAAAAGGATAGAGGAAGGTGGGGCCCACTTTCTGAAAGGAGATCTCCCAGAGGTCCCATGTGACACTACATTTCTTTGGACAAAATCTAGATACATGGCCACATCTAGCTGCAAAGAAAGACGAGGAAGATTATAATTTCATTTGGCCTTGATTGGCGTGTCCAGCTAAAACTCAGGTTCTTGGGCCCTCCTTGGCTGACCCACATGGTGCTGCAGACCTCTCCTGACCAGCCCACTGCTCCCCTCAGTGGTGCACTTCATCAACCTGTCTGTTCTGCTCCTCACTGTCTCTGGTGAACCCTCTCACAGCCCCTGCACCTCTGGCCTGTACCCAATTCTGTATGCACAAATAAGTTAAAAAATAAATACAACTCAAGTTCTTAATTCTTCTTTTTTTTTTTACCCCAAGTTCTTAATCCTAAGGAAAGAATGGACTTTAGGGGATGACAGTAATTCTTGCTGAGATGTGAAACACTAAGTTGTGATTTGACAGTCATCAAAACAATTCTGCTTGTCGATACTCTCTAACAAGAAGCCCTCTTCCCTTGAGACTTAAGAGTGATGGGGTGATGCTATACCTCACCACCAGATGAATCCAATTCTCATCATATAGAGTGACATTACTTTTGGGAAAATTTTCTATGTAGACATTGTATTATTTATGAATATTTCAGTTGCAAGATTCAGAAAAACAAATCCATACTAGTGTAGAAAAGATGGTTTCCTATCCCCAAATCTCAGGCCCTAGGCTTTGGCCATGGCTTAAGTCAGAGCTTCACCGGTTTCTATCTCTTAACTCAAACTCTGGCCCATGGGCTTCATTTTTAGGCTGTACCCATTTTGGTTCTGGGGGCCTAGATTCTTAGCGAAGCCAACTGTTCTCAAGAGCTCTGGCCTCACACCTTGCCAGGTTCAAGTCCACTGGCAAGGACAAAGTCCCTTTTTTGCTAGCTCCCGCAGAGACCCCGAGGCTCACACTGGTTGGTCCAGTCGATGCGATATCCTGCCCCTGCCCTCACCAGTCACTATAGTCAGAGGGATGAGGTGTGGTGACTCCTTTAGACCTGAGGCCCGATGGTCCACCCTTGTAGCCAGGAATGGTCTACCTGGGCTGAGAATGAGGAAGAAATAGCTCACCCAAATAAAATGGGGTTCTTGCCAAGCTTTAAGTACTCCAAACAATGTCAAGAAACCCTTGAGGAATGAAATGGAAAAAACAGACAAATGCTGCTGAGGCCTGTGAATCAGACTGCTGTTACTATAAGAGAACCTGCTCTTTAAACCAACAAATAACAAAGGAGATGAAAGCTATGAAGAAATGTCGATTATGTTGACATCCTAGACACTTATTAATCCTGCGCTTTTAGTGACAGGAACCAATCCAAACCTCAGGTTGCTGTCTTGAAGAGAAAAAACAACAAGGTTCTCAGGTTATGAACCACCTAATCTCTGTGGGTATGTGGATCTGGGTCAGTCGCAGGAGTGTTGGGTAGATTAGCTGCTGTTTCTGCTTTTAGCCTGCCCAGGGCCCAAGAGGAAGCCGGTGCTTCTGGCCAAGTAAAGGACACAAGAAACTAGCAGCTTGGGCACCTGGCTGATGAGGCACTTTCTAAGTGCAGGGGCCACCTTCTGGTTACTACACAGAACGACAGTCCTCTCCAAGTGCAGTTAAACCGACCAGCTGGTTATCAAACTTCCTTCAAAAGATACTTGCTTTATCCTCTTTATTTTTGAATTATTTCAAACCTACAGAAGTTTTAAGAATAGCACAGCAATCACTCATAAGCTCTTTACCCATATCCATGCATTTTGAGCATTTCCCCCCAAATGCTTGGTCACCCCGCCCTCCCCTGTAAACATTCTCTTTTCCCTCGACTGGCTATGGGTAGGTTGCAGGCACTATGTCCTCTTCCCTCTTAATACTTTATATTGTTTGAATTTTTATGTTGGCTATTATTTTACACAGTTATCAAATACAGGGAAATTTAATTTGAGACACTGACACGATACTGTATTTGTGGGAGCTTTTGACAATAGAAACATCTAAAAGACAGGGCTACCCTGGGGATAGCAGGTAACATTTCCTGATTCTACTTGCCTCCCTGGAGACTCCATTTGGAGGGTTCCACTTTGCCCATGCCCCTCCCCTGTAATTGTGTTCCTCACCAGCCTTTCCCACTTCAGGCCTGGCTAAATGCACCAGGGTGGCTGCCTGACTCAGCACGACAATGAGATTCCCAAAACTGTGGAACTGGACACTAGGGATACTGCTGAGGTGGTTGAAGCAGAGGGTAGACTCTGGAACTAAAAGGCTTCAACATGTAGTTGAAGCCAGGAAATATGTAAATACAAATAATCACAATGAGCATGTTTGTACCTAGGTATCAAAGAGTAAATTT